ACACACACACACACACACGTCCCGGGCAACCCCCCCACCCCCTCCAGCCGGGACGTCACCTGCCCCTCGGCTGCCTGTTTGAAGAGCTGCCCTTGGGTGCGACTGTGACACCGCGGCCCCTCCGGTCACCGGCGCCGGCTGCCGGGGGCATTCCCAGGGCTTGCTGGGCTTTGCCTCTCTCCCGCTCACAGAACAGCCGTGTCAGACAGCAATAACCTTACCTGCTAGAACTACTTACCCTTAGGAGATACCGGACTTAAAACTGCATCCTTATTCTCTGCTGATTACAGATATAAGGATCACCAGGGAGAAGTCAAACGTATATATAACCATTAGAATAAATTCTGAGACTGCTTGGATTTATGCTAGGAAAGACTCCAAATCTTCACACAAAGCATCTCTAAACAGCACAAGAATAAAGTATCTTGAGTAATCCCTGCATTATAATCAGTCCACCTATTTTATTCGCATAAACTACTATATCGTGTTTAAAATACTTTTTATTTTGCCAATACCTTTAGAGACTGCAACCAAGACACCACCAAACAATTCCACACAAAACATTGGCACCATTGGAATGGACTGTTCTCTGGTGGAGAAGCGTAAAATGTATTCTGTATATTTCTATAAAGATCAAGTATGGCTTCATACCTGCTGTTCTTTTCGCTCAACTAATCTCACTAAAAAGCAACGTAAGAAAAATTCTAGTCAGTCTAACTGTAATACTCCTACTGCCAAACTTAGTAAAATCAGTCTCTTTCGAAAACAGAACTGCTCAGGCCACTGTAAACAGTGTAGTCCTTTGTTTTCTTTGCAGGTCTCTCATGATCCAATTCTATGTTGTATTAATGATTTTAAGTGTTTTCTGAATAGCTAGAACCACGCTTCGTCTGCTCAGAGGACATCTGTGTGTTTCAGACACCCCAAGGTTTGTTGCATTTTCATTTGGAGTGTGCAGATGGTCTCTGATTGACATCATATTGAGTCAGTTGCCTGGTTGGATGACCAAATCTTTGAATTAGGAAAGTATCAAATAAGAGAAGATCAATGAATACTTCTGCACAGAAATGGGTAGATTTTTACTCTCTCCCAATTAAGAGACTGTAAAGAAGCATTCAATAATCTTGATTGTTTCTTTCCCACACGGTTGGGAATTACTGGGAAGACTAAATAATAACTTTTTTTTTTTGTTGTTTTCCTTAAAATCTGGCTGCATTCTTCTTGAAATCTGGTTCTCACAATTCCTGCACTTGTTTTTTTGCATGTAGTTTGTAAAACCTGCTGCTGCAGCGACACCATAACGAAAAAGAGAAGGTTGTTTCTTATGTTTTAAGAGGACTGTAGTATCTATCCAACTACCCTGATGAGTGTCTCATACAGACCCCAAAGTATCTGCTTGAAGATGGACCTGAGAATGAGAGAAATCAAAGCAGTAAAGGAAGCAGTAATGCATGTGTCAGAGACAGGGCAGGGAATATGCTAAGAAGCTAATGATGATAATCCTGTTAAGCAAACCAAACAGAGAGGGAAAGCCCATGACTGTAAGTACTGAAGAGAGGAGAGGGGATTTTGGTTCATAGACAAATATAAGAATTTCTACAAAGGAAAGCTGTTCTCTAGCACTGGGATAGAAAACCCACTTATCTGAGCTTTTAGGACTAGTGAAAAAAAATGAATTATATTCTGATCATATCAGACTCTGGCCTATTAATGAGTGTTTTCTGTGTGTGATGAGTGTTACTTAATACTGGCAGCCCAGCTGTGGAGACAGAGGGGAAATATCATAAAGGAATGCTACAAGCATGTAAGAACTGTTATGAAATTGCTTTTGATTTAAATATGGTTTTAAGTGAAATACTTTCAGGCCTGCTCTTACAGGAGTTGTATCTCATTCCAAAATAGCTGACCTCTCCCTTTTTAACAGTAACCTCATACACTGCCCCCCAATCATATTCACATGCAGAGTTCTTGGCCTTAGACTTGAGAAAGTTTACGGACCTTCAGACCTCAGTGAGTTCGGTGTGTCTCTTTTATGATGCTAACACACCTTTTAGGTGACTGAAAAACTCATATGAGTTTGATGTATCTCAAATTTCCATGTACAATTTCTGGAACTATGAATTGCTGTGCTTAGTTTGAGCCCTGACTTATTATCAAAATAGAAGGAATAAGCATCAGCATGATGTTCTCTGAGTGTTTAGTGCAACAGTGAAAGGTGTATGAAGAATATAATTGTTTACATTTCCATTATCTGTTACATTTATAACAACAAGCTGTGAACTTACCTGACAAATTGTCTAAATCACAAAGTGTTCAGACTATCTATAGTCATGATTGCAAGAGAGAGTTGTAGACATAAGAAGATTTTCAGCTTCTAAAGGTTCATCTTAGGTTTTACACTATTCCCCTGAATGCTTCAGCCTATGGTAAAGCCAGGATTTGCAGAGCAGCAGGCTGCCAAGAATGCTGTGGATGTATATTGCACAGTGTATGGTATTCATGTTAGAAAACCATGCCTACATTTCATTCACAGGCATCCAGGATTATCAAAGCTCTATGCCTCCCAGCTTGCAAAGAACCATTTCCTAATGAAGCAGCAATACCAGTTTGCAGCAGTGCCAAGCCTGTCTTGTTCAATATTTTTATCAGTGGCATACAAAGGAAATAAAATCAGCTTCCCACTCCACTCAAAGGCTTTTGGGTGGGAGGGTGTATTTTTGTCTTGCTTTGCATTCAAAGAGAATGAGTATTCCTCTACAGACAAAACTCAGTATAAACTCTGTTTTTTCTAATAGGAGCTCAAACAAGCTTTGCAAAAAGAAAATTTGAGAGTTTGTGTGGGTTCAAAGATGCCACTGCCACAATATTAATTTGGGATAAAATAATATAGGATTAGGTCTGAGGAATGAAACTGTATGTGTCCTCAGTTTGATGCCAAACTGAGGTCAATCTGTCTCTAAGAAGCTGTCAGCCAGATTCTCTCTAAGAAATGCAAACCTTTTGACCTGATCTGATTTTGTAAAGGGTGCAGAGAGCAGTCAAATCTCAGAGGCTGCACACTCCTCAAGTATGGAGCGGATCAGCCTGGGAGCAGAGGGACACATTCGGCTCTCCTGTCAGACCCCCTGCAGCCTGGACGTGGGTAGCATGGCTGGAGCGGGATGAAGGAGCCACGTGGCTAGTGCCATGCCTGCTGTCAGTTTAGCAACAATGGCATTCCCCTGCGTCATTGTTTTCTATGCTGAGGTTTACTAATGTAAAAACACAATCCAGATCTTACACAAGCCTTCCCCACGTACTACCTCATTTTATAGTTATACATTCACCCTAAGTTTATTCCTAAGATTTTATCTCAAAGCAAAGCTGCAGATTTTCAGTACTGTCCCAGCGACCTTCCTCAATGATCTTTTTATTGCAGTTGTTTGCAGTGAATCTGTAACTGCAACAAATAAATGTATGTCATATTTAGATTCCAAAACTGCACGACAAATTACTGTATTTCATTATTACATTTCAAATCATTGTTTCCATCAAAACTGGGAGCAGAGAAAGAGCTTTTAATTAAAAATTGTAAGCTATTATTAAAGAAAATAATGGGGTTTTCTTTTAGAAATTTTAATGAAATACCTGCTTTGTGACTGCTTTTTTAAGCGAGTGTCACAGATTTTTCGTCATTACTTTCATAAAACAGTAGAACTTTCTTTGGGAGACTGATATAACAAGTGCATCCCTTCTGATAGTATTTAGTGTAGTCCATGAAATCTAAGTCATTAGCTACTAAACTGAAAATGCCTTTTTAAGACCTCTCATAGCCATCTGCTATGCTCTGTTTTCATTTGGTGCCATGTGTGTATTAATGAAATGATTGCATCAGATTATATCTTTTATTCATAAAAACATCTAGGTCATCTGCTTCCACCTACACTTTCTCTCTCATTAAAATGAGCATTTGTGTGTATGTTTTCCCCTCACTGTATGAGTACAATCCAAGCTGCAGTCAGCTGCTATATGCATCTTAATAAGAAATATCTCTCTGTTTTTTTTCTCAAATAAAATTCCTTCAAAAGACAACTCTAGTGTTTCACACCACAGAAAGTGCATTTTTCCTACAGTTTGGAAAGTGAAGACTTCCCAGAAGATACGAGATGTGGATGCGCTAATGACCTCAGTCTTGCACAAGAGAGAATGACATTTCAAGAACACTGTCATTTTGCTGCCAAGAAATAGGTAGCACATTTCACATCTAGTCAACAGTGTTTGTGTCAAAGCTGTCAATAGCAGGGCAAGCACTTGTGTTCCTTGCAGTGAGGATGGAATACAGCCTGCATTTGTACACTTCACATTGAGAATAGGAAGGTGTCGACTGCACAGAATTCAGGGCTTTCTGCAATGCATGAACAGACAAAATACTCTGGTGTCCTAATAATCATATGAAGATTTTATTGGCATCAGAGGTCCATGTCTACAACTGAAGATTGCTATAAATGGAAAGTTTTTCAATGAATGTTAACAACAAAGAAGTAATAAATCTATGAATATTCGTGAGCTTTTAAAGTAAGGGCTAATAAATCATGTTGAATTTCCATAAATATTTTTGCCAAGGGGTTTAGTACAAGAAATTATTCATTGAGGGGGCAGGTATTAAGTAAATATTCCATGATGTTCTAAACCAAAATAATTTAAAATATCTAAATGTAACTGTTCTAATTAGAAAACAAATGTTAAGTACTGTACTTTTCTAGTTACAGAATATGTTATTCCTTGACAGACAAAGTCCCTCAATTTTCATGGGGGTCTTATCAGCAGTCCACAAGGACCTTCTCATGTACAAATTAACTACTCAAACCATTTCCTTAGAAATAATTTGGACCTATATACTGAATCACTATTGCATACACTTCTGGCATATACACAGCTCCCAATGCAGCAGAGTCTGCGCTTCTT